CTTGAAAAAATATCATTTTTGAGCATTTGTGGTGCACATTTGTTGTTTTGACCCATCCCTGTGACCTAGGGAAAGGGTTTCCTTTATGAACAGAGCCCGTGGACATGGGGAGGGAGGTCTGCTCTGATTGGTTCTTTTCAGTATTCCTATGTTTTGTTAAGTCTGTTTGTCATTAAACACTTCTTAGTTAGGAATAGTGCTTTATAGAAAGAACAAAGAGGAGGGGGAGGAAAAAACAGAGGTAATTATGGCGTAGGAGAAAGAAGAAAAAAACACAATAAAATTAAATAATGTGAAATAACCTGAATCCATAGCACCTTTTAAGGGGCTCATGTTTCAATATTTTGGTCTTTTTGCATGCCTACATTTCTATGCATTTTTCTGAAAAATGCTTTAGGAAAAAAAATTCTTAAAAATGGTAAAAATAAACTATGATGACATATGTTTTATTGGTGGAGGTCTATTGAAAGTAATAATCAAATATAATAAAGCTGAGGGACATAAAATCAACATACATAAATTAGTTTTGATTCCATACACTAATAAAAAAACTATCAGAAAAACAAATTAAGAAAAAAAAACAATACAAATCTTAGGAATAAATTAAACTAAAGAGGTAAGAGAACTGCTCATTGAAACCCTAAATCCTTGATTAAATCAAGACACATATAAGTGGAAATGTATTTCATGTTCAGGGAATAGAATAATTAATTATTGTTAAAATTTTGTGCTACCCCTAGTAATCTACAGATTCAATGCAATCTCTATCAAAATTTTAATGACAGTTTTCAAAGAAATAGAAAAAAATCTTAAAATTTGTATGGAACCAGACAACCCTGAATACTTAAAGCAATATTGAGCAAAAAGAACAAAGATAAAGGCATCACACTTCCTGATCTGAAATTATATTACAAAGCTACAGTAATCAAATCAGTATGGTACTGGTATAGAAACAGACAATAGACCAATGAAAGAGAATAGAGAGCCTAGAAAATAAACCCATGCATACATGGTTAATTAATTTCCAACAGAAGCATCAAGAATACACAGTAGGGAAAAGATAATCTCTTAAATAAATGATGGGATAACTAAATCTACCCATGCAAAATAACTAAATTGGACCCTTTTATGTACACCATATACCAAATATAACTCAAAATGTATTAAAGACTTAACTGTAAGATCTGAAACTTTACAATTTCTTTTTCTTGATTTGACACCAAAACTTAGGAAAAACAAAAATAAATAAGTGGGCTACACCAAACTAAAATGTTTCTGAAACAGAAAAGACAACAATCAGCAACAAAATAGAAAAAAACTTAGTAAATAGAAGACAATATTTGCAAACCATATATACAAAAATGGGTTAATATACCAAATATATGAGGAGCTCATACAACTAAATAGAAAAAATATATAACCTGAAGTCTTTGCTAAGGAAGTATAGAAAACAAATGGGTCAACTAACCAACAAAACCATTTTTTAAAAGTTAATAACAATTCTTCACAAATGTTTTCAAAAATTACAAGAGGAGAAGACATATTCCAACCAACTCATTTTATGAGGCCAGAATTACCCTCATACCAAAATGAACAAAAAAATCAGAAGAGAACACTGTAGACAAATATCTCTTAGAAGATGCATGCATATTATCTTAACACATAAATAGTAAACCAAATTGAGCAATTCATAAAAAGAATTATATAGCACGGCCAGTTGGGATTAAACATAGTTATGCAGGTTGGTTTAACATTCAAAAATCAATTAATATAAAACACCATATTAATAGACTAAAAAAACCTCAATAGATGAAAAAAAAAAAGCAATGGAATTTTTAAAAAAATTTCATTACAAACAAACAAAAACACTCAACAAACTGGCCATAGAAAGAAATTCCCTCAACCTGATAATGGTCTTCTATAAAAAACAAACAAACAAACAAAAAACAACAGAAACCCCCAATTCATATCAAAATGTTACACTTAATATTGAAGTTTGCATGTGTATTCATCATGGGTTCAGAAACAATATAAGGCTGTCTATACTTTCACCATTTTTATGTAAAATTGTGCTAGAGGTTCTAGTCAGGTTAATTAGGCCAAAAATAAATAAATAAAAATAAAAGATACGGAAAAAAAAAAAAACTATCGCTATACACAGATAACATGATACTATGTATGAATAATGGTAAGAAATCCAAAAAAGTTGCTAGATCTGGAAATCTAATAAATGAGTCCATCAAGGTTGTAGGATACTAGGTCAACAAGCGGGAATCAACTACGTTTATGTATACTCACAATGAACAATCTGAAAATGAAATTAAGAAAACATTTTCCTTTAAAATTACACAAAAAAGAACAAAGTAGGGATAAACTTAACCCCCTCCAAAAGCACAAAACTTATACTCTGGAAACTGTAAAGCATTGTTGGAATTCTTTAAGAATCTAAATTAATAGAAAATACAGCAAATCAATCTACCAATGTAATGCAATCTCTATTACAAACCCCACTGATTTATTTGTAGAAATTGACAAGCTGAATCTAGAACTCATTTGAGATTGCAAGGAACCCTTAATAGCCCAAACAATGTTGGAACAATACAATGTAGAAGGATGCACATGTCCTGATTTCAAAACTTACTACAATAATAAGACAAAGTGGTATTGGCATGAGTATAGAGATATAGAACAACGGAATAGAATTGAGATTCCAGAAATAAACTCACACATACATGGCTAACTTTCAACAAGGGTGCCAAAGCCACTCAATGGGGGAAAATATTCTTCAACAAATGGTGCCGGACGCCTGGATAGCCACATGAAAAAGACTGAATTTGAACATTATCTCACACAACATGACAATTAAATGAAAATTGACAAAGACCTAAACAAAAGAGGTAAAACTACACAATTCTTAAAAGAAAACATAGGGGGTAAATTTCCATCACCTTGTTTTGACTCTTAGATGTGATACCATATTGGATTTTTAGATATGACACCAAATGCACAGGCAACAAAAGGAAAATAGATAAATTGGGCCTCATCAAATTTTCAGATTTTTGTGCATCAGAAGACGTTCTCAAGAAGATGAGAAGAAAACTTAGAGAATAAGAGAAAATATCTGAAAATCATACATATTGTAAGAGTCTAGTATCCAGAATATACTAAAGACTCTTACAACTCAATAGTTTAAAAGGCCAAAACCCACCTTAAAGTAGCTAAATTACTTCAATAGACATTTTTCCCAAGAAGATATACAAATGACTGAAAAGCACATGACAAGACGTCAACATCATTAATTGTTAGGAAAGTGCAAATCAAACACAGTGAGATACCACTTCACACACAGTAGGATGGAAATAATGTGTTGAAAAGGATGTGAAGAAACTGGAACTCATATATTGCTGGGAGGAATGGAAAATAATTCAGCATTTGTGGAAAAGTTTGACAGTTCTCCAAGAAATTAAACACAGAATTACCATATGACCCAGAAATTGCATTCCCATACTCTAAAAAAACTGAAACAGATACTCAAACAAATGTTCATAACAGCACTACTTACAAATGCCAAGTGGTGAGAAAAACCCCAAATGTTCATGAACTGATAATTGGATGAATGCTGTAAAATGGATAAATAAGATAATTATGGGTACTTATAAATAAATATATACATATCATGGATAAATAAATGGATACATAGATATCTCTCTATATAATGTTATAAATAATTAGTGTTATACCAGCAATATTTACAATAGCTAAATGGTAAAAACAACCTAAATTTCTATCAACTAATAAGTGGATAAACACTGAAAAATGGATAAGATAAATATAAACACTTAAAAGTAAATATATACATATATTTATATGTATTTATATAACATATGTATATATATACATATGTTATATGTATATATATACACAGGAGAGTACTTCAGAAAAGTTCATAGAAAAATAGAATTAAAAGATAATACAAATATTTCCTTGAACTTTTTGAAGTTCCCTCATACACGTGTGCGTGTGTGTGTATATATGATAAATGGGTACATAAGCATCCACAAATACGTAATGTTATTTAGACATAAAAATAAATGGAGGACGGACACACACTAACACAAGAACATTCACAGTGAAACAAGTCAGACACCAAAGATCACTTACTTTTACGAAATCTGCAGAATGAGGAAATCCACAGAGCCAGAAAGCACATGGCAGGTCGCTAGTTGCTGGGTGGAGGTGGGGACGTGCAGTAACAGCTTAATCATCTTGAGGTTTCCTTATAGAGTCATGAGAACCACCTGCATAAAAACACAGGCACCGGGGGTGAAGGTCCACTGAAAATACTCTTCATAGAGCCCGCTCCACCTTCTGTGTTCTGATTGGTTGGTAACAGCAGTGAAACTATCCAATCAGGGCTTGTCTACGGGGTTCAATCAGAACGCGTCTTCCAGGAGCCCTCATTTGAATACCGGGTCTATAAATGGGCCGAGCAAGCCCACGCTCGGCATATTCTCTTCTCCGAGGCTGGCTTCTGCTTCTTGTCTTCGCTGGGCTCTGCTGGTTTCCCGGAGGTGTCTTCCAGGACAAGGAGTTGAGAAGCCGAGTGATGAGAGCAACGGGAAAAGCTGCTCCGCAGACGTGTCCGAGGGATAGAAGCAGGTTCCTCCCAGGTGGAGACGTTTGCCGGGTCCACGCGGTTCTCCACCCTCCCTGGACATCTCAGGCCTGGTGAGTCTCCCCGTTAAAGTATGTGAGCGACTTGGGGTGGGGAGCGGGCAGGTTACGGTGGGCGGGATCGCAGAAAGCCAGGGAAATCCATCCCCGGCATCCAGAGAACAGCCACAGTCATTGTCCGCTGCAGCCGTCGCCCGCAAGCCCGGAGCCTCCACACAGCCTCCGCCTGCGGCTCCTCTCCTGCTCCCAGCCCTGCGCGGGTCCTACCGGGGCCCCCGGGTCGTGGGAGCCGACGACTCCCGGTAGAGGCAAATGAGGTTCTCGAGCCAAATGTTGAACTTGGATATGTAGGTTATGCCGCGATTCAGCACTCTAGGCGAGATGGTAAATATGTCCACGCCAACACACACGGTGGTGGGGAGGCTTTTGGAAGGACTGATGTGGAAGGGACCGTAGATAGTTTCTCAGATGTTACACGAACTACACGTCTGTAGCACAGTTCCACTTGGTCAATGCTGTATTTTCTGTGTTGTTGAATTCAGTGTGCTCGTATTATGTGAGGCTTTCTTTGTCCACATTCAGTAGGTTCTGTAGTTACCTTTTCGCTGTGATGCTTCCGAGTGCTTTTGTAGAACAAATTGGGTTGTGTTTTCTTTTCTTCTGTTTTTCTTGAAAGCATTTGTGAAGGGTTGGTATTATTTTTGTTTGTTTTTGTTTTGATTATGTATGTTCATGGAGTACAAAGCTGACCATCACCACGTGTGCCCAAGATGTGATGATCAGATCAAAACCGTCAGCATGCCCATTACCACCAGTTGCAGTTATTCTCCATGTCCCCCGCCAAACCTCTCCCTACCCTTCTTCCCCTCTCCCCACTCCACCCCAGGCAACCTTAGGTCCGTTCACTCTCACTGCAAGTCCAATGCACCATTGTGGTCTTTCTCTTAGCTCCCACTTGTAAGTGAGGACATGCAGTATTTTTCCCTGTGTGGCTATCTTATTTCTCTTAACATAATTTTTTCCAAGCTCATCAATTTTGTTGCAAATGGCAGAATATCAGTCTTTCTTATGGCTGAGGAGTATTCCATTGTGTATACATACCAAATTTTCCTTATCCAGTTGTTCCTGTTGAAAATTTAGGTTAGTTCTTTATTTTTTGGTTATTCTAGCTATAGCTGCAGTGAACATGTGAGTGCATGTACCTCAACTTGATGATTTCTGTTCCTTTGTGTATATACCCAGATGTGAGATTACTGGATCCTATGGTATATCTATTTGTAATTGCTTGGTAAACCTCTATACCTCTTTCCGTAGTGGCTGTACTTACAGTCCCACAGCAGTGTAGAAGAGCACCCATTTCTCCACATCCTCCCCAGCATTTCACATTTTGTCTTTTTTATTATAACCCATTTAACTGGGGTGCGGTGATATCTCAATATGGTTTTAATTTGCATTTCCCAGATGATTAGTGATGTTGAGCTTTGTTTGAAGTGCCTCTTAGTCATTTGTATGTCTTCCTTTGAAAAACGTTTTAGCTCCTTGGCTCATTTTTAATCAGGTTTTTTTTTTTTTTTTTTTTGTACTGTGTAGTTGTTTGAGTTCCTTGTATATACTGGGAATTAATACCTTGTCAGATGTATAGTTTGCTAATTGTTTTTCCCATTTTGTAGGTTGGGTTTTTTACTCTGTTGATTCTTTTCTTTCCTGTGCAGAAGCTTTTTAGCTAGAATCCTATTAATTTACATTTTTTTCTTGAATCTGTGCTTTGGGGGTCTTATAAAGTCTTTGCCCACTCCAACTTCTTGAAATGTTTCTCCTATGTTTTCTTTTAGTAGTTGATGGAGTTTGGATGTATTGTCCTCACAGAACTCATGTGGAAATCTCATCCCCAATGTGGCAGTGCTGGAACTTGTTTGAGCCACAGGGGTGGATCCCTCATGAATGGATCAATGCTCTCCCTGGGGGTTGGGGGTAGTGAGTGAGTCCTTGTTCTATTAATTACAGGGAGTGCTGGTTGTTTAAAGGACCCTGGCACCTTCTCTCTCTCTCTCTCTCTCTCTCTCTCTCTCTCTCTTCCTCTCACCATGTGGTCTGCTTGTATCTGCCATCTCCCAGCTGTTTTGTGCCATGACTAGAAGCAACCTGAGGCCTGTACCAGATGCAGCTGTCTCAGAAATGTAAGCCAAATAAACCTCTGTTCTTTATAAGTTTCCCAGTCTCAGGTATTCTGTTATAGCAACACAAAATGGATGAATACATAATCCCACTGGTAGAGCACATAGACAAAAAAGAAAGAGAAAAACTGATATCACACCACTTTAAAAAATCAAAAAGCTCTGAAGACAAACAACAACAGGGAAAGAAGGGAACAAAAGGTATTTAAAGCTAACACATGAAAGCATAAATGCCAAGAGTTAGACAGTACCTTTCAAAAACAACCATAAATGAAAATAGATTGAACTCACCACTCAAAAGGCACAGACTGATTGGTTAAATCAAAATGCAAGACCCAACTATATGCTGTCTTCAAGAGACTCATTTCACTGGTAAAGGTGCACACCGACTAATAGTGAAGGGATGGAAAAAGATGTACCATGCAAATGGAAATAAAAATGAGCAGGAGGAGCTATTTAAATAGTGGATAAAATAGACTTTAAAACAAAAAAAAAAAAAAAAAAAAAAAGGTGCACACCGACTAATAGTGAAGGGATGGAAAAAGATGTACCATGCAAATGGAAATAAAAATGAGCAGGAGGAGCTATTTAAATAGTGGATAAAATAGACTTTAAAACAAAAAAAAAAAAAAAAAAGAAAGAGACAAGGCTGCTATATAATGATAAAGAGATCTATCCAGCAAAAAGACATAACAATCATAAATATAGATGTACCCAACACTGGAGGACCCACATATATAAAGCAAACATGATTAGACCTAGAGAAAAAGATAGACCTCACTATGATAATAGTGGGGACCTGAACACATCGATGTCATCATTGGATAGAGTATCAAGGCAATTAATCAACAGTGAAATACAGGATAGAAACTACACTTTAGACCAATTGGACCTGGCAGATATTTACAGAACATTTCATCCAACAACTACAGAATATACATTCTTCCCATAAGCACACAGAACATTCTCCAAGATAGACCACAATAGGTCACAAATCAAATCTCAATAACTTAAAAAATCCAAATCATTTCAGCTATCATTTCAGAACCCCAAAAGCACAAGCAATAAAAGAAAAAATAAATAAGTGAGATTATGTCAAACTAAAAAGCTTCTGCACAGCAAAGGAAACAATCAACAGAGTGAAATGTACAACCTACAGAATGAGAGAAAATATTTGCAAACTATATACATCCGACAGAAGATTAATATCCAGAATATGCAAGGAACTCAAGTAACTACACAGTAAAAAACCAAATAACCCATTTTTAAAATGGGCAGAGAAAATGAATAGACATTTTTCAAAGGAAGACATACAAATGGCCAACAGACGCTTTAAAAAATTCTCAACATCACTAATCATCAGGGAAATGCTAATTACAACCACATTGAGATATCACCTCACCCCAGTTAGATTGGCTATATTCCAAATGATGAAGAATAACAGCTGCTGGTGAGGACATGGAGAGAATGGAATCCTCCTACACTCTGGTGGGACTGTAAATTTGTATAACCACTATGAAAAACAGTATGGAGGTTTCTCAGTCAACTACAGATAGAACTTCCATGTGATCCAGCAATCCTACCTCTAGGTATATACCCATATGAATGGAAATAATCATATCAAAGGGATACCTGCACTTCCATGCTCATCACAGCTCTATTTATAATAGCCATGACATGGAACTGACCTAAATGTCCATTGATGAATGACTGGATAAGGAAAATGTGATATATATGCACCATGGAATAATATTTGAGTATAAAAAAGAATGAAATTCTGCCATTTGCAACAACATAGATGAGCTTGGAGAAAATTGTGTAAAGAAGTGGGAAAGTGAGAGGAGGAAGGGAGAAAGGCAGTAACTGCTAAAGGACCATAAAAATTGATTACATTGTATAATGAAGAATATACTAAATATCCTGACTTGATCTTTACATATTGCACACAGGAATTGATATTCAACGATGTACCCCACAGATATGTGCAACCAACAATTTTCAAATAATAAATTTAAAAAATAAATATTTGCTAACATGATAATGTAGGTTTTATGGGAGAATGTTAGTATTAATATTTTGAGAGTGCAGATTCAAAGATCTTCTCATTATTCTTGGATACTTGAGCAATGTTCTCCGTGTAGGTGCCAAGTTTTGGCATAATCTGTGAAGATTTTGCTCATAGAAATTGTGTTTTTTTGTTTTGCACTGATTGTATTTTCTTTGAAATACTAATAAAAGGGCCTAAAATTTGTTTAGACTCATGTGGAAATTTATCCGGATAGAGTGGCTGTTTGGATAACATTACTTAAAAATATTAAAATACAAATATACAAAATGTAACCTGGAGCAAAAAGAGTTAAGGGCAACAATATGTGTCTTAAACCATGAAACAATAGGGAGTTTAATATTTGTGATTAAGGTTATGAAAAGGTTTCACTTATACCAGGGAATCGAGAAAGCCATGTGCATCCGTAGCATAGGAGACATGCTCAAAAATAAAAGAGAAAACAAAAAGCTTTCACCTCTGGCTGATCTTTAGGCTCAGTGAAAACATGAAGTAAAGTACATGGCAGAGATGAAAACAGCCTTGCTGAACTAAGAAAGAGAGTACCACACAGAACAAATCGCAAAGATCAATAGTGAACTATTTTTAAAGGACATTATTTTTATTTTGTCTTTATTTTCTTTTTTTGCTCCAGATGTTTAAGACAAATATTTTTCAAACAGCTCCCTGTACACTAAAGTAAAAGAGCAGAAACTTTAGAAACCACACATGACAACAAGTGCAGTTTTTTTGTTGTTTTTTTTTTCCTTTTTGTCTTTTTTACTGACCGGTAACGGGATTGCAACCCTCGGTGTTGCACCTGCACCACGCTCAAC